TGCTGTCCCAGGGCTGCATTCCTGTACCCTTGCCCGCAGGTATCGGTGCTGACTGGCATCATCAAGATCAGCCTGAAGACGCTGCTCGAGTGCGTGCGGCTGCGCACCTTTGGGCGCTTTGGCCTGCAGCAGGTGCAGGTGGACTGTCACTTCCTGCAGCTCTACCTGTGGCGCTTCGTGGCCGATGAGGAGCTTGTGCACCTGCTTTTGGATGAAGTGGTGGCTTCGGCTGCTCTGCGCTGCCCGGACCCAGTGCCCATGGAACCCAGTGTCGTCGAGGTCATCTGCGAGCGTGGCTAGGCCGGGCCGCTGCCATGCATGGGCTAGTGCAGTCGCCCTAGCTCCCGCCCCAGTCCCCTGGTGTCCCTGCGTCCGCTGGCCCTTCCCCTCGGGCCTCAAGATCCGCCAATAAAGACGTGTTGTCTCCTCCTCCCTCTTGCTTGCGGGGGCGGGGCTGGCTGGGGATGGAGTTGTGAGGTGACTCCGGAGGCAGCCGCGTCAGACCCGCCCCCCAAACCGATTGGCTAGAGTGTGGGCCCAGGATGGGCCGGGGGTGGGTCCACTTAAAGACCTAGGGACTCGAGTGGTAGTAGTCCGAGCTCAGGGACCAGGCAGGTGTCTGTGCAGCGGGCTGATCCTCCGCGTCACCGTCACCAAGCTCATGTCCTAGGGGAGGAGGTGGACTGTGTTTCTCTGACGGACTCTTGTGTAGTCTCCCGCCGGTGGAGCGGAGACCATGGCGTCTCCTCAGGGCTCCGGGGCTCCGCTGGAATTCGGGGGACCCCTGGGTAATGGGGCGGGGGTGGAATCTGTGGTCAGGCTCAGCGAGGGCCCAAACGGGGCGGGGGCGGAGGAGCTAGGATCTGAGGATAGAAAGCTTTGAAGGGTCTCCAGAAGCAGAGGGATCTGGGGCTTGCGAGGGACTGTCTGGGGAGGGGGCTGCACAGCCCCGGATTGTGGAGTGGAGGACTGTACCAAGAGCAGAAGGAGGATCTTTGGCGGGGGCGAGGGGGCGGGGCCCAAGATGGAAGTCAGGGAAGGGGCTGAGGGCTGAGAACGGGATATGGAAGAGGGCAGTGGGAATGCCGAGGGGGCCTGGAGACGACAGGGCGCCTGGGCGGGGCGGGGGGGATGGCTTGGTGTCGGAGGGCAGCTGCGGAGCCGACGCCCGACGCGATCGCCTCCGGTCCCCAGGCGCGGCGGCGCTGATGCTGCTGCTTCCTGCCACCATGTTCCACCTGCTCCTGGTGGCCCGCTCGGGCCCCGCGCGCCTCCTGGGCCCACCCCCCTACCTGCCGGGACCCGAAGTGCTGTGGAGCCCGCAGATGCTGCTGCTGTGGTTCACCTGGCTCGGCCTTCAGGCGGCTCTCTACCTATTGCCGGCGCGCAAGGTGTGGACTCGGCTCGCGGGGGAGGCGGGCGGAGGGAGGGGGCTCCGCTGGGGAGAAGACACTCGCACCCCTTATCAGAGCCCCTTTGTGCCTGCAGGTGGCCGAGGGACAGGAATTGAAGGACAAGAGTCGCCTGCGCTACCCCATTAACGGTGCATGGACGCGGGGGCGGGGATGGATCCCTGCGCTAGAGTTGTGCGGGTGGGGATGGAGCTCTAGGCCCAGTGGAGATTAGCCCCCAACCCCAAGCTCCGTCAGATGCCTATTTTACGCTCTGTGCGCAGGGTAGCCTTGGGGGAATCTCACTGTCCCTCTCCAAGTCCCTTGTTCCTCCACACCTACCCGCAGCATTTGCTCTTACTCTATGCTCTTACCAGAGCAGTGGTTGGGGTGACCCAGGGGCAGGGCCATTGACCTCCTTGGGCTTTGGACTGTGTGTGTGTATTGCGGGGGGCAGGGTGAGGGGGGAGTGAAGGGGAAGGGCAGAGGTGTAGGGGCGCAGCCCCCAGGATTCGTTGTGTACTGTGGTTCAGGCTTCCAGGCCCTGGTGCTGACAGCCCTGTTGGTGGGCTTGGCTGTGTCCGCCGGGCTGCCTCTGGGGGCGCTCCCCGAAATGCTCCTGCCCTTGGCCTTTGCGGCCACCCTCACCGCCTTCATCTTCAGCCTCCTTCTCTATCTGAAGGCCCTGGTGGCCCCTGCCTCGGCCCTGGCCCCTGGGGGGAACTCAGGTGAGAGGGGTCCCAGTAGGGTGCAGACAGAAGCAGATGGGGGTGCTCACTTGCATCTTCAGCCTCCGTTATTCTCCAGGCAATCCCATCTATGACTTCTTCCTGGGACGGGAGCTCAACCCGCGCATCTGGTCCTTCGACTTCAAATATTTCTGTGAACTGCGACCTGGCCTCATCGGCTGGGTATGGTGGGCATGTCTATGTGGGCCAGGAGGAGGGGTGGGATGCCTAAGCAGTGCTTGGGCAGGGCGGGGCCACTATTGCGCGGATGTAAACCATTAATCATTCATCCCACAAATATTTGTTGAGTGTCCTGGGCACTATTCTAGATACAAGGAGACAAAAGAGAAAAAAAGTTATAGGAAAGACAAACAAAAACAAAAACAAAAAACAAAACTCTGTCCTCGTGGAGCATACATTCTAGGAAAGACAGACAAAACATAAGTGAAATATACGTAGCATGGCAGGGGTGCTGTGTGCTAGGGAGAAAAAACATGGAGGGAATTAGGTGAGCAGGTGCAACTTTAAATAAATCAAGCTCAAAATCTGTTCTATTTTGAGGACAGGAGAGGCTGATGCTATGCTGCCTGCTGGTCCTAGCGGTGCAAGACTTGAGACTGATCATTGGGCAAGCAAGCTGTCCATCACTAGTGGCCTCGAGGACATGCCAACCGTGGGTTTGGGTTATAATCACCCATACTGGACTGTGGTCACGGTTTCCCAAAGGGTCTCTTGGGCAAGGTCCCTCATGTCACCCTGGAAACTAGAGGTGAGAGGAGGCCAAGTGTCCACCATGGATCTGCACCCTGGCCCCCAAGGCGATTTCCCCATGTGTGAAATGGGATAAAGTCAGAACTTCCTGCGAAGGTTCTTGTGAGGGTTAGAAGTGGTAACATTAATCACAGCATCAACCCAGTGCTACCAGAATGGGTTTACTCACACGAGTGAGTATTCATTCTATGCCAGACACATCATGCTTCGTGCTGCCCATGCACTATGTCAACAAGTCCCCAGACAAGCTCCATGAGGCCGGTCCATGATTATCTCCATTTTCCACATGGGGTGGGGGAAAGGAGGCTTTGGAGGCGGGCTGGAGACAGACTGCCCTGTCCCCACCCCTCCCATGTCCCCAGGTCCTCATCAACCTGGCCCTGCTGATGCAGGAAGCAGAACTTCGGGGGAGTCCCTCCCTGGCCATGTGGCTGGTCAATGGCTTCCAGCTACTCTATGTGGGTGATGCCCTCTGGCATGAGGTGAGGCTGGACTGGGCGAAGAGGCAGGGAGGGCATTTGAGGACCTCATGGGGACTCAGCAGGTGTGTCTGGGTCCCACCCTTGCAGGAGGCTGTTCTCACCACCATGGACATCACACACGACGGGTTTGGCTTCATGCTGGCCTTTGGGGACCTGGCCTGGGTACCCTTCACTTATAGCCTGCAGGCCCAGTTCCTGCTCCACCACCCGCAGCCCCTGGGGTTGCCCATGGCCTCAGTCATCTGCCTCATCAATGGTCAGTCAGGAGGGGGCTCCTCCCCCTTTCATTCATTCATGTTCTGTTTATTCAGCATCCGGTAGGTACTAAGCCTCAGGCGCTCCTCTAACACAGGGGTGGGGGTTGGGAGGGGGGGGACTGGGTCCTAGGTCTCCAGGCCAACTGGGCTGTGGGTGGATGGTCAGGGTCAAGTAGAAGGCTCTAAACCTCAACCCTGACCACTTGCTCTTGCTTTCCCCTAGCTGTTGGTTACTACATCTTCCGGGGAGCCAATTCCCAGAAGCACACCTTCCGAAAGAATCCTTCTGACCCCAGAGTGGCTGGTGAGCTGGGTCTCTAGGGTGCCATGAGTGAGGTGGTGCAGCCGGGCTTCCTGCAGGTCCCCCATCCCATTCCCCGTCTTTCCTCAGGCCTTGAGACCATCCCCACAGCCACGGGGCGGCAGCTGCTGGTGTCTGGGTGGTGGGGTGTGGTCCGCCATCCCAACTACCTTGGAGACCTCATCATGGCTCTGGCCTGGTCCTTGCCCTGTGGTGAGTGGCTTGGGAGGGCACAGGACGGGGACCGCGTGTATGTGAGGGACAGAGGTGGTGACCACGGGATGCCCCACCTGGGTGTGGAATGGAGAACGGGGATACAGCCTAGTGGAGGGAGCAGTCAGGGAGCTGGGAATGGACTCAGTGAGTGGCTGGGGGTAGACTTCCCCGCCAGCCTCGTGGAGCCACTAACTTGCTGCAGACCTGGACCTTTCACCAGAGCCCCAGTGTCCCTGTGAGCCATTCAATGCAGAAACCTTTGTGAACTGGGGAGTTGCTGGGTGGTCACAGCCTCCACTTCCCCACAGGGGTGTCTCACCTGCTGCCCTACTTCTACCTCCTCTACTTCACGTCACTGCTGGTGCACCGGGAGGCCCGGGACGAGCAGCAGTGCCTGCGGAAGTACGGCCTGGCCTGGCATGAGTACTGCCGGCGCGTGCCTTACCGAATCCTGCCCTACGTCTACTGAAGCGGCTCCACTCAGCCCAGACTGGGGCAGGTGCCCCCCCCCCCCCCCGCCATCCGTCAGCGTGGCCGGCTGGGGAGCCTGGGCCCCACCCTGCTCTGCGCTCCAGCAAGCAGGGACCAACAGCCTCAGGGACGTGCTCTGGAGCAAGGAGAGATGCAGCCAGTGCCCAAAAATGGGAGTGGAGGGGCTTGCTCTTCCTCCTGGATAAACATCTGGAACCCATGGTACCACTTCCCTCCCTTTCTGGGGCTAGGGTGTTTAAAAACTGGCTTGGGTCAGCTCTGACCCAGGACAAGCTGAGAGGTGGCTTGTGGGCCCGAGAGTCTGGGGTTGGGGGCCGGGGGGAGAACGACAGCTGTTCCTGTCCAGAAGCAGGCACTGCTCATAGGGCAGACCAGTCACAGCTTTATTAATGACAGAGGGATCCCAGTTCAGCCAGGGAGTTCCTCGATGAGAATTCTTGGAGCAGGTGGCAGGGAGCCTCCCCAAAGCCGCTCCAACTCCCCGGTGAGGGCTGCCACCTCCTCGGCCACCACAGCGTGGGCTCGATGGGCTCTGGCACAGTCCAGAGCCAGGGGTGTGAGGGCCAGCTCATTTTCATTGGTCCAAGCCAGTAGGAACTGGCACTTCTTCCGCGCCCGGTAGAGGCGATCTCGCTCTTCCGTGGCCACAGCTTGCTTCCGGGCCCGGCCCAGGGTCTGCGCCAGGTGCCCCAGTGCTGCCAGCGTGTAGCCTTTCTGGTCGGCCGGGCCTTCGCCCATCAGAATGCGGGCAGCTTCGCGCATGGCACCCCGTGTGCCCAGGGGCCCAGGCGGATGCTCGCCTGCTTCGAGCACCTGGGCGGCGGCCTGCAAGGCTTCCTCGGCAGAGGCGAAGACCTGCTGCGCACCCAGGGCTCCGGAAACGCCGAGCAGCGTGGCACAGAAGTCTGAGAGCAGCGCATCGTCGCCGCCGTGATACAAGGCAAGAGTGTGCGCGTAGGAGAACAGCACGTTGGGCAGCTGGAAGCGCACAAGCGGCGAGGCCGGGCTGCGGCTCAGGCTGGCCAGCGTGGGGATCCGGGTGGGCACGGTGGGCGCGCGGGCCTCGGGAGCGTCTTCGAGAAACGGCTCGGCGGCGGCCTCCTTCAGGGGTTCCGCTGACGTCCTCGCGGGGGTGGGCTCCAGCTCCGCAGGGTCCCGGTCCGCAGCATCATCCACCTCTTCCAGAAGCCGCGACCCGGCCCCGCGGCCCCACCACCACGGCCGCCACGGGGGCAGCAGCCGCCCGGCCTCGCCACGGCTCAGCAGCCGCTCGAAGGCCGCCTTCTCGGCCGGGGCCAGCAGCTCCCAGAGCCTGGTGAGGCCGCCTGGCGCCGGGCCAGGGCTGAGGCCGGCGTCCTCCGGGTCGTCCTCGGTCTCGCGTTGCTGACGCAGCCGCCGTAGGGCGCTGGCCAGGCGGCTGGGCGAGGCGCTGCGGCCGCGGAGCTCTCCCAGCACCTGGTCCCGGTAGAAGGCTTCGGCGCAGGTGCCATGCGCCCGGTAGCAGCGCAGCGAGCAGTAGGGCACATTACAGCGAGGACAGGTGTAGCGCGCGGGCTGGGCCTCCCCGGCCGGGCAAAAACCACAGGGCCCGGCCGGCTCCATGGCAACCGGCGCCCAGCGCTACTTGCGAACACTCACAGGCCGCGCTGGACAACTTCCGGTGCTAATCGGTTACTTCCGCCTCCTAGCGAGGCCCGCGGAGCGTACTCAAAGCTCCCGAGGACTCTCGGCAACTTCCGCCCACACTCGGACGCCAAGCCCCACCCCTCTGCCGAATGGCGCTTGAGCAGGCGCAGGAGCCGGTCGGGACGCACAGGCCCCCCCCTCCCCCCGCGCGGTGAGAGAGGGAGGGCGAGTGCCCCAGGCCGGGGCTCCGCTGGTACCAGCTCGCCCCCTAGTGGTTCCCTTTTTAGCACGATAGAGCCTCCTGACGGAAATCGATCTTTGAGAAGCACCTACTCTAGGCCCCTAATTGGGCCAGGCCCATGGGGGATGAGATGCATCCCTGCACTGGAAAGGCAGTCATTCTACTAGGGGACACAGACAAAGCGGAGTGTAGAAAAAGGGTAAAGATGGACTACTTGGCCTAGTCTCTGTTTATGTGTGTGTTGGAGGCATTTCCCCTCTTGAGAAGAAAGCAACGTTTAACATATCTGAGCTCCTATTTTATTTCCCCTCCAAATCTATGGTTCATCCAACTTTAAAGTGCAGAATCCATACTAGGTGCCAAAAATACATCGATAAGCAAAGAGATGGGATCCCTGTCCTAATGGAGCTTGGTTTATGACAGAGTGGCACCCACACACACCGTGCCAAGGGCCCCGAGGACTTGACCTATGGCACCCACGAAAGTGAGCTCTGGTTCTTTAGACCCACTCCTAATAAGTTCTTTCACAATACCTTGTATTTATCTCCGTATGGATCATCTACTTCCCTATCAAGATCTGGATGGATTTGATGACCTTTAAGTCCGCTCATTTTTTACATCCCCATTACTACCGGTGGCCTCAGCTACTAGTCCCTTAACCGGTTCCCTTTCTTGCCAGTTGTCCAAAGAAACCAGCCAGAGAAAGCATTGGATCACAAGTCAGATCACATCAGGCCCTTGCTTAAACCCTTCCCTGTACTTGGTGACCCTCCATTGCACTTGGACTCAAATCTGAACTCCCGTCCAGGTCTGACAAAACCACACAGCTTTGCACACAGTTCTCTGGGCTGGACCTCTTTCATCAACTATTTGATAGCTTTCAGGCCTCTTGCATCCCATCTTTAGAGACCTTCCCTAGGATATTATGTCCATCCCCAACCACCCCTTTCATTACAATACCCTGCTTACTTTCTTTGAGGCTCTAACACTTAACTAGCTTATGCACTTAACTCACAAGAATCGAAATGCCTAGAAAGGAGGTGACTGTCTTTTTCTTAACCAACTGAGCCACCCAGGCGCCCAGTGACTGTCTTTTTCTTAAAAGATTACTAGAGATAAAAATAGCCTATATGTTTGCACACTATGTGGCAGGTGCTGATCTAAGAACTTCACATCCTTTATTTATTCTTCACAGCAACTCTCAGAAACATGATGGCAGAAATTAATTTTAAGGTTGGAGAGTGAGAAAATAAATGAAGCAAGGATTCAAACTTAAGGCAGTCCAAGTCTAGATCCAAGGTCTTTACTTCATGTTATACTGTTTTCCAAGAACCAGCAGGTTCAAAAACCCTCGCAAAACGAGTGGGTACCCATGTTGCTAGGGGAACCTTCAATCAGTGCCAGAGAATTCCACTCCTAGGAACACCCAACCGACCAACCCACCAACCTGAGCTATGATTAGGTTAAGGTGCAAACAAGGTTACCACAATGCCAATGTAATCAGGCAATACTTTCTGTAGGGCCACTTTTAGGCAACAGGCTTGGGCAATGGAAGCCCGGGTAAGGTAGAAGGGCCCATGGCAACCACCCGGCTGAATGCAAACAGGTCCACGAGGAAACCCACCTCAGAAGAGCCGTAAGCCCTTGCTGACCAATGGGCTGCTTACAAGCAGGCACAGGAACTAAAAAAAAGTAAAGTTTCACAAGTTCCCCTACCTCCCCCCCCCCCCCCTTAACCCCCGCCCCCCCCCCCCCCCAGCAGACAGTCTCTCCTCTGCTCCCTTGCAGTGTATTCAATAAACTTCCATCTCCTTTGTTCTGCCTTGGGTGAATTCTTTCAGGGCCGGCATTGCTGACCTCCTCCCCAATAGGGTCGCCCCACTTTCCAAAGTAGGGACATACTAGACCCCTACCTTGGATTCCACTAAGGCCATAGCTGGTTCGAAGTCCAGGAAGGGTCCGACTGGCCTTCCCTGATAACATCTTCTACTCAAGACTTCTCTACTGATCCTCCCACAGAGGATTCTTATCTTCTCTGTTTAAAGAACAAGAACAAGGCGCCTGGATGGCTTATTCGGTTAAAGATCTGACTCTTGGTTTCAGCTCAGATCTTTGAGATGGAGCCCTGTGTGGAATCCCATGCTCAGTGGAAGGTCTGCTAAGATTCTCATCCTCTGCCCCCCCCCACTCCCTCGCTCAAATAAATCTTAAAAAAAAAAAAAAGGAACAAAAACAAAAAGGATTTGGGAGAATTATCAAGTTATTTGGACCGGAAATTTCCCCAACTCTCCATCTGAAGAGTTACCATCTGGGGTTACCAATTTTCATGCTAAGCCTTTTCTTATAATTTACCACACCTTCCCCATCCCAGCTGAGGGCCCCCGCCTCTTCCAACCTGACTGGGCCAAGAAACCAGAACCAGGCCTGTTTGGATGAACACACCACCGGCCCTAGAAGCTGTGTATCTTCCCAAGGCCCTGCACGTGAAGATGAAACAGTGAGATGACTGAACTAAACGGCTTTATTGGGGAGAGCCAGGACTACAATGGCCTTAGGAGTTGGCATTGGGGCCCTTCTTCTTGCCAAATGTGGGCACAACGTTGACAAAGCGCCGGTTGTACTGCATCCGCCGCTTGGCTCGACCTGTCTTCTTCTTCTTTTTCTCCTGTTTGGCCACCTGGGAAAAGGGTGGGATGATCAGACCTCCCATGCCTCCCCACAGTCTTAACTCCAGGGAGGGAGAAGGCAAACAGAGCAAAGACCAAAGGTCTTGGCTTAGCTTAAAAACAAACAAACAAAACAAAACCCTCACACAAAAACCCAAAAACCCAAAGTCTAAACACCACCATTAGTACTCTCACCTACCTTGGGAGTCTGCCCCCTTACTTTCCCAGCACGGGCCAGAGAGCCATGGACTTTACCTGCGGTGGGAAAGGAGGTCAGAAGACAGGCGAGCAAGAAGGCCCCACCCAGGAGAATCCCTTCTCCCTCAACTCAAGCCTTTAAAGATAAACAGGGACCGACAGAGAATGAGAACCAAGTTACACAGATATGGCCTCTGACCCAAGAGTGTTTATTCAGTATGGTACGTTTCAGGATTTCACTTCAGGATTTTCCCGCCCCTGACTTTAGACAAAAACGGAAGAGCACCTTGGGGAATCTAGTTTGGCTTGATCTTAGCGAGCAAACAAGGGGCTAGTAAATAACTGAAACAGAACCAGGCTCTGGCTCAGTCTCCCATGGACCGCTTAATGAACAAGGTAAACAGGAAGAACCACCCTGGGTTGAGGACACTGAACTTCACACCCCACACTCATTATGAGCTTACAAACATTTCAAAGAACAATGCTCCCCAACTCACCTCCAAGCATGCGGCCAGCTACTTCCAGGGTGGTCAGAGCCTCCACTCCACAATGACCTAGGGTAGCCTCATCCTCCAGGGGCGTGCCTGCCAGGAGCACGACTTGATCTTCTGGAGCGATGCCCTCCAGGGAGGCTACGTGAGCCTACGGGGAAATACAAGACTCATCAGCGTTTCCGCGCGGGGGGGGGGGGCGGGGGGGGGAGAATGAAAAACACAAGAGGACGGGGCTCAGGAAGCACCACGTAGCCTTACCTTGATCTGGGCGACCGTCTCCTGGCCAGTCACCTCGAGGGTGTGTAGCTCCTGGGCGCGGACAAAGAGCTGCATGTCGGCGACTGAAGAAAGAGAAGCTCGTAAGAGAAGAATGCTCTGGGAGAGGGAGTCGGGGGAAGGTGGCGGGCCGGCACCTATCGCGCTGGGACATAGGTGGTCGTGGGATCTCACGTGGGTTAAGGCCGGGCCTGCCAGGGCGGGGGGTCGGCTAGTGACCGGAAGCTGGCCGTCAGAACACATCCTCTCCCTCTATTTTTCCCGTGCTCTCTGACTTGCGGCCAACCTGCTAATAAGCCCTCAAGATCCAGCGGTGGCCCAAATCTTACCTGAACCGCGGGCACCGCAGCCACTACCGCGAAGATGGAGTCGAGAAAGAGGAAGGAGCAGGAGCGCGCACGTCCTCTCGGCCTGCTGCGTGCTACGTCACTGCTGGGCGACCGCTAGAGCCTTTGGTTTTTGTACCGCCCACGGCAGTCCTAGCTCCGCCTCTTTACGGCTTTGCGCAGGCGTTCTTTCGGTCCCGGGCGCGCCCAGGAAGGGGCGGGATCTGGCCGGTTGTGCGCGCAGAAGGCCCGGGTGCGGGAGCAGTTCAAGATGGCAGCGGCCATGTTCCGGGCTACGGTGAGAGGGTGGAGAACCGGCGTGCCGCCGGGCTGCGGGCTACGGCGGCTGGTGAGAACACTGAGCCTGGAGGTGTGGGAAGAGGGCTGCGTTGAATCTCATTGTCATTCCTGTAACCCTAGAGCTCAGATACAAGATAGAAACAAGGTTCAAGGCCTGCAGGGCGCCTCGGTGTGTGGGGCTTAGGGAACCTGATTGGTGGATAACTTGGGTTAGTCAGAACTGGGAGGGGCTGCAATCGACTCCTGCTAATTTTTTTTTTTTAATATTTATTTATTTGAGAGAGCGAGAATGAGAGAGAGAGAGCACATGGGGGGGGGAGGGTCAGAGGGAGAAGCAGACTCCAGGGAGCCCGATGCGGGACTCGATTCCGGGACTCCAGGATCATGACCTGAGCCAAAGGCAGTCGCTTAACCAACTGAGCCACCCAGGCTCCCAACTCCTGCTAATTTTTTAAAAGGGATGCTGTTCCACAGGGTAGGGGGTCGGCCCCAGATCATTGGTGACACGAATGGGAACCTAGAGTTCATGATATAAAAGGTCCCTTCATTCTGCTTCCCTCTTCTTGTAACCCCGGGGCCTATCAGGACACCGGGGTGTCTGTTGGGAGAAGTGTCCAAGAAGGATCTTCAGGCTGGAGGATGGGAGGACAGATTGCAGAGAGTTACCTTAGGTCGATTGTTTATTAGTGTCTTAATTTTTCCCAGATGGAAAAAAGGGGTAATAAAATACCTAACCTGTGTCATTTTAAGAATTAAGTCAAAACAATACCCGTAATACATTTAGTCCAGTGGCTGGCGATGTTTATATGAGGCCAAAATGTTCCAGGTAAGCGAGGGTCACATCGGATGATGTGAGTGCATTATCACGATTGCTGAAAGTGCCTAATCCAGAACTACAATATTTCAATGGAATGTTTAGAGGAAACTTTAAAATACTCAAAAAGGCTATGTCAGTCAGACAGTAGATTGACTTTGGCTTTTAAGTCCCACAAAAATCTCAAGAGAGGGGGGCCCTTCAGACTGCCTGAATTTCTTTTCCAGACTCACCTCTACCCCGGCAAACTGAAGTCGGGGGCTTTCCTATCTCCAGGCTTTTATTTAGCCATTCTTTGCAACTGTGGTGTTTCCTTTTTTTTACTTAAGGTCTGCCTCTTTTGTTGGGTGGGTGTGTAGTGGGTGGTCTGATGGGAACAGTGGTTGTTTGTGTTTGTTTTTGGCCTCAGAGCCAGACCCAGGAGCCTCCTGATTACCCCAGCTTTGTGGAGTCTGTGGATGAATACCAGTTTGTCGAGCGCCTGTTACCCCCTACCGGCATCCCAAAGCCCCCAAAGCATGAACACTATCCCACTCCCAGTGGTTGGCAGCCACCCAGAGGTGAGCTGGGCGATGGGGATGGCTTGAGGTTTACAGAGGGAAATCTCCCTCTCCCTAGTGGTCTACCTCCCCAGTTGAGGCTCTGGATTCCCCAGTGGGTTCAGGACTTGTGTGGAGGTCTGTCAGGGCTTAGCATCTGTCTCATGTTCAAGGAAGGGCCTGGGAATGCAGCCCTGTTTTACTGGTACCCATCCACCCACACTGTCGGGATGAGGTCTTCCTATTCGGGAAAAGTGAAGCATAGAAGACCTCAGAGCTGGGACCCCCACTCCCACCCGAGTAAGTCTTGTACCATAATTGAGAACACAGCTTGGTAGTTGGGCAGTTCTGGGTTCAAATTTGGCTCTGCTGTCCATTGCCAGTGTGATCATGAGTTAGTCACTTAGCTTCTCCCATCCTCAGTTTCAGCAAAATGGAGATAATCTGCTCAGTACATAAAGCACTCAGCACAGAGCCCAGCATGTGGTAGGTAGGTGTTCAGTGCTGTAAATCCCCATTTCTTTGCGCCAGAGGTTATTAGCCTCCCTGACCCAGGGGAGAAGTGCAGGATTCGCCCCAGATCGGGACCTAAAGATCCAGGGAGGCGTGGCCCTAACTTCATTTCTTGAGCACCTTCTGTTGCCAGGCCCTACGCTGGGCCTGTGAGGTTACCAGGTCGAACCAGCTGGTCCTGGCTTAAATTTAGGGAAAGAGCAGGTCTTCTGACCTGAAATCTAGAGGTGGCTTTACCATTGTGTGCACTGAGTCTGTGTAGACTGTGAGGGGAAGGGCGTCGGCTAAGGTGGCATAAAGCCTGGGGAGATTTGGCTTCTCACCGTTCTTCCATGTAACAGACCCCCCACCCAACCTGCCCTACTTTGTGCGGCGCTCTCGAATGCACAACATCCCTGTCTACAAGGACATCACACATGGCAACCGCCAGATGACTGTGATCCGAAAGGTGGAGGGGGACATCTGGGTAAGTGAGGGCATGGGACAGGGACTGATTCTGAGCCTTTCAGGGCTGAAAGGATGGCAGTCTACTAGAGGGGATGGTCTGACCAGGCTTGATTTATCATTGTCCCCCCTCTCCCTCCCCAGGCCTTGCAGAAGGATGTGGAAGATTTTCTGAGTCCACTGTTGGGGAAGACACCTGTCACCCAGATCAATGAGGTGACAGGTACCCTGCGGGTCAAGGGCTACTTTGACCAGCAGCTCAAAGCGTGGCTCTTGGAGAAGGGCTTCTGAGGCCCAGCTGAGCAGCCTGCATGATAGCATCCCCCACAGACCAGAGTCCAGGGGGTCTCAGGAGGAGGGAAGTGGCTGTTGGAGCAACTGGGACAGGAGGTATAAATGCCACGGCTAAGAGCTTGGGCGGGGCAGAGTCAGGGCTAAAGGGCTTCAGAGCAGGCCTCGCTCACATTAAGGGGGAAACAGGACCCTCTCTACAGGTGCCAGCAGTGGGGGAGGGCTGCCTGAGTGGAGACCCCGCCTTCATTGGAGCTCATTGGGCTCAGCTGTTCAAATTTTGGAGGTTGTTGACTGGTGAAAGTAATAGCCCAACCCAGTTTAGGGGAGGGTAGCACAGGGCAAACCCACTGAGTACATTTCTTCCTTGGCTCTTAGACCCTCACTGCTGCAGACATTCTCAAGCTCTTGTTCCAGGCCAGACCTGGTTCGGTGGAGGCTATGAAGAACACAGAGGACTCAGGCATGGGTCCCGGACATCTTCAGTTCCAAGTGCAGGCATAGAAGGTCCATGTCAGCCCCTGGGCTCATTCCTTTTACCCATGGATAAGTAGAAGGCCCAGTCACCTTGGCTCCATTCTAGGGAGAGTTGGGTCTGACTACATTGCTAGCTCTAAGAAGCTAAGTGATTAGCTTGAGCTGGTCTTTCCACAAGGGGGTGCTCGGGAGCTCGCAGCAGTCCAGCACGGCCAGCCTGCCTTCCCAGCTTGCTGGCCTGGTATCAAGGCTGGACAGGGGCTTTGCAGGAAGAAAGATGCTGGCCTTTTGCCCCTGCCATCTGTCCCACCCCCAGCCAGTGAGCCTTCACATTTGCCCCGTTCTTGGGAGTTACAAAGGTCAGAGGCCTGAGTGCCCACCCTCATCCCACCCTCCAACTAGTTAGGGACAGGGTTCAAAGGCTGACTCCCCTACTTGTCCTCTGACCTAAGGCAGGGAACTTAACCTTTCTGGGGCTCAGTTTCTTCGTATGGAAAATGGGGGTATCTTCATCATCATTTAATGACTTGTCTAAAGAAACCCACACCCCTGGGGATTCTCAAGTCGACAGCCTGAGCAAGAAAAAGCAGCCTGGCACACTGATCCTGTGACACCAGCTCCACCAGTCATTAACGCGAGTCTTTATTTGGCTGTATATACAATTTAAGCTATTAAAATTTGTACAATATTTACAAATTAAATAATCATCTGAAACTGTCTCCAGCAACTCTTGTAACACAGAACTGAGGGAAAAAAAGACGGGGGCAGGCGGGCCTCGGCTCCTGTGGTCCCTACCTGGCCCAGTGCCTTTTCTCAACTGGAAAAACCAGGAGCCTGACATTCTTGCTCCTCTTTCCTAGGATCAAGCATTCAAGTTAAAGACAAAATTAAGCCAAAAGACAAGGAAGTAGTTCCAATTCTTCTAAACTCAAGAGAAGTTCTGTAAGTTGAGAAGTGGCCTTCCACAGATTCTGGGGCTTGCAGTGGTTCAGGAGCAGACACATGAGCCCTCAGCCTGGCGTGAGGCTGGGCAGTGGTTGCTGGGTGAGAGGAGGAATGGTCTCACTTGATAGACAAACTGCAGGGAGAGGGGGACCTGGAGGAAGGGGCAGGGCACCTCGTGCTGCCCCCCCGCTCCTCCACCCCCAGGCCCTCCTTTCCCTGAGCTGTGCGATTGCAAGACGTGGAAACACCACAGGGCGTGAGTGACACAGCCACCATCACAGAGGATTCTGGGGAGTTTAGGGTAAGAAAAGGGACAGCAGTACCAGTCTTGGTGGGTGGCCCAGGGAGCAAGTTCCTGGCCTGCCTCCAGCCCCTTAAGTTCACACATGGGATTGGGGAGCTAATACTGTTTAGCACTGAAGCGACTTCACTCACACACAAAGTGGGGCCTGGAGGGGCTGCCCCTTCTCCCAGAGACTGCGGTGCGCCTCCTGCCTTCACGGCCCCAGTGGAACAGGCTGAAGGGTGGGAGAGAAAGGCTGGAACGGACCCGGGATCCCCATGGCTGCCCGGGTCTGGAAGGGCTGGGGTCAACTGGGGCCTCAGGCATCTTTCCACTTGGCCTAGGGGATGCCACCTCCTTTGTCTCAGAGCTGGGGGTCGTTACTCCCTGGTGCACATTAGACAGGGAGCGGGCACTTGGTGGCAGGATGTGTTACAGCAAGGGCTGCTCAAGAGAGTGGAGGCAGGGGTAGGACTGGGGTAGTGTCAGTGGGCAACAGGGGACTCCAACTTTTGCAGGCGGCGGCGACGGAGCTCTGCTGCATCTGGCTCCCCATCCTCAGGTAGCTCCTCTGTGCCTACTGACTCAGGAGCTGGGGACAGAGTTCAGAAGTGGAACCGGGAGAAGTTTCTTCCCTGCTCCCCCCCTCCCCAGGCTGACCGAGACTACCTGGAGGCTTTTCAGGCTCAGGGGCTGGTGGGGAGACTCCTGGGGATGGGGTGGTAGTCTCAGAGCTGGGGATGCTGGTGGGGGGGGCAGTAGGGACAACTGCAGGGGCAGTCTCCTCAGTGGGGCTGACTGAGGTGGCAGGCCGGGGGGGCCTAGGAAGAGAAGGAAGAGGCAGGTGAGGCCTTGACATCCTGGCATGATTGGGCAGATTCTCCTGCCCCTTGTGAGCCTTGCAGGGTAGTGTCAGCACTGACGTCCGTCTGCAGTCTGAGTTAGCAGCAGACACAGGCGAACGTCCTCGTGGGTCCATACCACAGATGGGCTGTAAATCACCGGCTGGCACGAACCGTCGGCCTTGTTCACCCTGACACTGCACTCTCTAGTGGGTGCCAGACTCCTTACGGGGCACCCGAAGGCTTTGCACTGAATAAAACTGCACTCAAATCTCAGACTCCGGCTCCCCTCCAAGCCTGTGCGGTCACTGCTGTGTGCCAGGCACTCTGTGCACGTGACCTGTGGACAGGACTTAGAACCCTTCTATTCAAAAAAGGTGACAATGGTCACCGAGCAAGTGAGTGGTGGGACCAGGACTTGAACTTAGGCCAGGCTGGCGCTGGGGTGACTTTATTTGCTGACTCAGATGCTGACATCAAGTACATACTTGATGAAGATGGTGAGCACCATAGTGCAGACCCATAGTGCAGACCCAGGCACATGGTCACCATATGTGAGAAGAGCATACATGATGAACTAAAGCACTAGGAGTTAGGAGTAATTTGATTTTAGAAAAACATAAAGGAACAAGATTCAAAATCAGCTCTCTAATCAATGTCAGTCCTGAGACCGAGCAGGCCTTCTTCAGCGAGAGGACAGAGGCCTTGAGAACCTGGAGATCCTGGTATGCTACAGATAGGTCAACCTGAATTAACAGGCATCACGGAGTGGCAGAAGAGAAAAAGGCCAAGAACCCTGGCTGGGGGCCTTCTGTCGGCAGCTCCACGCTGCCACCGCCCATCCCGGGGCCCCGCGCGGACTTACCCCAAGGAAGCGAGCACGGTGAGGTACTGGTTGATCTGCAGCATGGCGGCATCCAGCAGCGTGTGGATGTTGCGCAAGCTCTGCAGCCGAGCCTCCAGGTGCTGCCGCTCGTGGCCTTCCAGAGCCCGCAGCTCCTCTGGGGTCAGCCCAGCAAAGCCCGCAGGGGGCACGGGCATCGGAGGGAAGGCTGGAGAGAGGCAGAGGCTCAGCCTGGGCCTAACGCCCCCTACCTTCCAGATCAACCCCGAGTGTGGCTCAGCTTACCAAAAGGTGGAGGCAGGGGCATGCCCATCCAGGGGGGCGGGAAGGGGAAGCCTGGGGTGGGGCCAGCCTCAGGGGCTGGGGCGGCGCCAGGGGCGGGGGCCGAGGCAGAGGCTGCAGAAGCAGCGGTGGTGGCTGCTCCACTGGGCCGAGAAAGGGCTGCTGAAGAGTAAGAACAGGAAGTTGGGGAGTGTTAAGAGGCCTCCGCTTCCATTCCTCCCACCCCTTGGCTGTGGCAGTCCCCAAAAGACTCACCTGCACTGGTGGATGGAGGGGCCACAGCCTCTCCTGAGCTGGGGGGAGGTGGGACAGGTGGGAAGGGGCCCATGGGGGGCCACAGCGGGAACATGCCTGGAGGAAAGGGAGGCAGGAGGCCCTGGGGGACTGCAGAGAGGACAGGGCAGTGAGAAAAGGTCCAAAGTGAGATAGAGGCAAATCCCACACGAGAGGCTGGCCGTTAGGACTCTGTCCCTGCTCCCAAGGGCCTCTCTGAGCTTGGCACCGATGACACATGATTACAACTCATTGATGGCTCTTCCTATGACTCCCTTCCCCACCCGGACTGAACTTCTGGAGGACAGGGAGTCTGATTCATCTGTTTCCCATACCCGGCTCAGGGCAAGTGCTCAACAGGGTGTGTTGGATGGCCAAATGAGGGGGCCACTCACAGTTGGGGGGCTGCGGCAGAAGTGGTGGGGGATGAGCAGCTGGCGGTGGCCCCTGATCCGCAGGTTCCGGGGGCGGTGGTGACTGGGTCGGCAGTGATGCCCGGAGGACGTCCATACGGCAGGTAGGGCAGGTCTGCTGCCGCTGGAACCAGGAGCGCAGGCAGCTGGGGGGTCAAGACCAGGCGATGGTCGGCAGGTCCCCGGGGGCCTGCCTTCCAAAGCCTTTCCCCTTGTGTCAGGCCCCCCGGGGCCCCTCCCACCTGGTGTGGAAAATGTGGTTGCAGGGCAGTCTCTTGGCACCAGTCACCATCTCTTCTCGGCAGATGATGCAGACATTGTCCATTGCCTGGAGTTCCTCCGGGGTGGCATCTGGATACCTAGTTAGGACAGGCCAAGGATATGTCAAGACCAGAGGTGCAGACGGGGGAACCTGGGGCAGCGCTTGGGACGGCAGCCGGACCGGCCCACTTACAGCGTGTTCATGTTGCGGATGGCTCGGCGAGACATGATGGCATCTGTCACAGCCTTCTTGAACTGCCTGAAAGGCCAGTTTTGGTGAAAGCTGGGTGAGGGGGGCGGTGAGGATCCGGTATGGGTCGGGGGCAGGACAGGCTGGGCTGGGCTTACCTCATGGCCAGGTACATAGGCCGGATGGCAAAGAGAGGGAAGGTGTGCACCTTGATCATGATGGTCATGAAGGCCATGTAGAGCAAAACCTTGATGAAGCCTGGGGGCAGGGGGAGGTGCAGAGAGTGGCAGTCACAGGGCCTGCGAGGCCGGGCCGGGGGCGCTGGGCCAGGCCAGGGGAGGCCCAGGCTCTCCTCACCTGTGAACAGCTCCGTGTAGAGCATGTAGACGGCCTTGTTGTCCCAGGGGTTCTCGCTCTGGAGGTCCACAGAGTGCAGTACATACTTGATGAAGATGGTGAGCACCATAGTCATCAGGATGGCGTACTGGAGGGGGAGGGGGACCATAAGCACACAGCGCCCCCTGGCGGCAGTCACACTCTGCCGGTGCCGGGCGCCGGCTGGGACATGGCTGCGGCCTCCCAGCCCCTCCTCTCGCGGGCTGGTGTCACTTCTGGCAACTCACCAGACCTGTCCAGCCCGGGCGGCCCATCAAATGACAGAATTAACTGTCCCTTCGTCACGATATGGCTTTGCCGATGAAAAGATGCAGGCCAAGTGCTCAGCACAGGGTCTAGCGTACAAGTGAGCACTCAACCAGTGGGAGCTGTTATCACCTCCTCCCCAGCTGTCCATCAGGCTAATTAGGTGCGCGTGTGTAGAAGGTGGGAGCTGACACTGACTGACGGCTGCTGCTTGGTGGCCCGCACAGGCCTGGCCCCAGACCAGGAGCCCGGTAAGGGCTTGTCGCGTTCTTCAGGCCACGTTCAGTGCCACCTCGGGCTTGTCCTCCCAACCTCCCAAGCCAGTTTTACCTCAAAGCCAAACACCAGCTGTACAGAGGCCCCACGGGTCAGGATGCTGTGATAGGCATGGCTGACGAAGAGGAAGTCCAGGATACCCAGGAGGAACATAAGAGCTGTGGGGGCCCCCCAAATTGGGGGTTGGTGGGGTCAGCGCAGGGCCTGACAGCCACTTCCTGCTTTAAGACCCCTCCCTCCCCCCCTCAAGCCCACCATGGCCCTAGCCATCTAGTCAGGTGGCACACTCCATTGACCCCAGCCCCCTGGGAACTCCAGTTTTGCCTAAGAGGGTATTAGAGCGGCCCGAGCTCCAGGTGAGGAGGCCAAGAGCTACGGGGCTGGGCAGCTGAGAAGCCCTGGAGTGGAACAGGGCAGAGATGATGCAAATGAACTTCCCAATTTATCTTTCCTGTACAGCTGTGGGTC